ATGTCCAATAACTCACCGGAGCCCTCTTTGGCTGTGGGTATGTCCAGCTGGGAGCCATGGTGCACACAATGCTTCCACTGGGGTCCATGTCGAGGTCCCACCAGGACAGGATGACCTGGGCCCGCCCGCCAGACTCAGCTGCAAACTGGGAGGAGTGGGACTGGAACGCGCTGCTCACTGGCTTACTAAAATCCACACTGAGAGGGGGAGGGTGGAGTGCAGGGGGAAATGTTCACAATGATGTTGAGAGAAAACAATAAAGGGGGAGAAACGTGTTTCCCACTTCCATACCTGAACATGGTGCACAAAGGACCCAGCGGGGTGAAGCTGCGAGGAGACACCTGGCTCAGCTGGATGTCACACACTGAATGAGCTCCGGCACAGCGGCTCACAGTGGGCGGCGGGACCAGACGAGCCCCCTCCACCTCCACCGGCTGCAGCTGTGCCCAGCTCCACAGCAACTCCGACTCCACCAGCTGGGCGTAAACGGTGGCCCGGTGAGGGACCGCCTCACAACCGTCCTACAGGGTGGATGGGACACGAGGAGATGGATCGAACCACCAGCTAGGATTATCCATTATATCCACACTGTCTGTATTTATCTTACTTTTCTAGTATTAAAAAGTTCATGCAAACACTTATATTTACACTATATATAATATATAAATAATATAACTATACACACACACAAACACACACACACCTGGACCAGATTTTGGTGAGCATGTTCATAGCTGGGCAGGGCTCCTTCACCTATCAGTTCTGTATCAAACAGTTCTGTGATCAGAATGTTGGCCTTCGTTTGCATATCTCCATCTGTTTTCAATTACAAACACAGCACACAACCCCATCAACACAGACATACCAACAGACTTCATGCCCTTTATGCAGACCCCCCCTCAGGACACAGAATTAAAAAGACCAGATTCCATGTGATTTGTGATGTTCACACTGTCATGAAAAATCTGATCTGAAAATCTGATTTGGGCTTATTGTGCAGCAAGTGTGAACTTAGCCTTAAGGACATTAATATTCATACAGTGCCACTGTGTGTGTGTGAGTGTGTGATTTTCTCTGACCTGGCCCCACAGTGACATCAGTGGAGTGTTTGTTAATAATCTTGATCTTCTCAGAGAAGCCGTTCTTCTCCACGATGCACTGCGCTGCCTCTGCCATGGGCTTAAAAACCTGCAGAACACAAAGGAAGCAGAGCGACGGCAGCAGCTGCATCACTCGTTGGGCTAGAGGCTGACGGGTGTTAGGGTAAATTAGTGACAGGACAGAAACCTAAACCCCTACAACAATAAAGTCTGTTAGCGCTTAAACGATTAGTTGATTAATCAAATAGCCTAGTAGATTGACAGACTCGACATTTAAGTAGAATACATGCAGCTCTGTCCAGCCATGTCGCAGTCAAAAAGCAAAAAGTGAATTTAGCGAACATTCTAAAATTTCAAAGAGCCTCATTTTGTTATTTTTCCAGTGTGAGCATGCTACACACTAAAATGACAGGTGGAATCCTTGTACAGTATGTAATTAGAACACAGATCCAGACTGTAAACAACAATGTATATCTGTGTTTAGAGTGTGGGACAAAAATACCTATAGCTTCTGAACCAGACGCTGTATCCAGAGCACCAAGGGAGTCCCAAACTACTTTTTTTTTTTTTTTTTTTTAAAAGTGGTCAGGGTGTTTTTCCTGTTAACTCAAATCATGGAGAAATTCTACTTTAACTATTTCATTTAATCCTGAAAATCTTGATATGGATTTTGGAACAGTGACATGGCAACATACTGCCAAATCATATTTACCCTCTGTCGACCGTACACTGTGTTATTGACTTTGGAGTTTGTTAGCATAATGTTAGCTCTCTGGCTCGAGGGAACTAGAAACATCTCATATGTCGTATCTACTGGAGTCCATTGCATAAGAACCTTATATGATGGTTTGATGTTCAGAGTATTAGTCAA